TCTGAAACACCGCCTAACTAGCCTTTAGTGACAGTAGACTTTGCGCGGGTACTACTGCACCGTCTACTCTCACTCACCTATACTAGATGTCTAGGCAGACTTTAGTAAGCCAGGACTGGTACTGCTACTTCTAATACTACTTACTAGGATGTAGCTTAGTGATAGTATTTGCTGGTACCTTCACTGACTGTTTTGTAAGTCAGAAGTGACGCCGATTAAAGTCAGCACTGCGCTCATATCCCTTCTATCTTGGCCAGAAGGGCAGTAGTACTGGTGCTGGCACTGACGCTACCATTTGTCAGAGGTGAGGCTGATTAAGCCAAGGCTAGGGGTCATATCCCCTTGGTCTCAACAAAGAGTGTGACTCTGGGTTTAACTAGTTCGGGTAAGTACATGCTTGGGATCCTGAGCACAGCAGCGTTTGCCTTGGTTTCTGCACTCTCAACTCTATCCATTGAGCTGTGTACGTTTCTACAAGGCACGGACTAAGATACTGCTGCTCTAGGTACGTGCCTATGCTAAAAGTGCTAATGTCTAGCATTCATGCTTACTAAGGCCAGTAGATATTATACTATAAGTACTGCCTGTGTGTGCTTTTTAAGGAGTCGCACCGAGTGTGCACTCTCAATTTGTGTGAGATAATAGTGATGAGCATTTGAATAATAATGTAGCGTTTGCAAAGTAATGTACAAGTCCTATCATGCCCTTATGTCATGCATTTTGCCGTCTATAGACTACATATAGGCCTACTGCAGTATATATCTGTAGCTTTGACTTTGCAGAACGTCTGCTCATATTCCCTTGCTCCCAGCGGGGAGTGTGAATCTGGGTTAAAGCCATTACGAGTAAATACCTACCTTCAGAAGCTGTCAAGCCAGTAATGGAAATCAAGGCTGGCACTGCTACTACAGCTACTGATGTCTCTAATACTACTAACTGTGGTAGGTGCTGGTGAATGGGTCCGCGTAGTGGGAAGCGAGTGAACTGGACGGTTCGGCGCACTTTTGTCACTGTAAGCAGTCTTACACGCTTGAAACTTTCACGCGGTGCACTTAAAATCGTGGCTTGAAAAGTTGCAGTAATTACTATTTGTGTGGAATAGTCAACTGGCTGGCCCAGAGTCAGGGTGTAATAGCTCCTTTTCAAATGTGGCCTCTGCGACAATCCCACTGATTTGGGACGCCAGCGACCCAATCGAGGAGTGCTTAAGGCTAAGAACGTTAACCCTAACAGCTGCGATTTTCAAGGCCCGATTACCTATGAGAACAGAGAGGTCTTGGGAATGCCAGAGTGGTAGGAAGAGTTTGTTCTGCAGAAGGATTGAAGTACAGGTTGTATGGGGTTTTTTGTATCAGAGCACATGTCCTTCCGCTAGAACGGCGTGCCCGAGGTGATGTCAACCAGCAAGCGATCTCAAAGTGCACTTCGATTTGAGCTAGTCACGACAAGCGCTCACAAGTGCACTTCGTGTGGGGCTAGTCACTACAAACCGTACCTCCCCCCCCCCGCTTGCTGCTGCTTTTATGTTTATGGTGGCTCACAGTGTGTGAGCCTGTGTCTGCTCCACTCGTATGGACTCTGTCTTGACGCGGGGCAAGGTGAAGCAGTGGAACAGACAATAGGGTAGATGTAGCGCTCTAATTTAGTGCAAGAAACCGTGCGTGCGCCACTCTGCTATGGAGCAAACTGTCGACCTCGCCGAAATCGACGATTGAACTGGTAGATCACACATCTGATGCGATTTGACCCACGGTGTTCCACCACAGGTTTCCATGGATGCGTAATGTTGGAATTGCGCCGATCCCCACGATTACTCATCTTACAGAAAGGCCTCCGATTGCAACTCCACACAGCTGTCATGATAGCGCGCGCCGTGACTATCGATTTTTCCTCGTATCTGATTGGTCCCCTGCCGCTGACGCCTGCTCGCGGAGCGGGCTGAATAAATACCCCGCAGCCTTTTTATAAAAGGGACTTGACTTGTAATGGTGAATACAGCCTTTTGTAAGACTGACTGGTTTGACTTGCGCTTCCTTGCCTTGACGTGTTCTTGGTAAATACACTTCTCCTTCTGGCTGATTGACTTCTCTTGTTCTCTCGTGAGCGTTCGGGACAACGACTGGGCTGGCCCACAGTTCGTGCTAATTACAAGTACCAGGCGTGGGTCGTAACAGGTATGTGGCCGTGTAGACCTATGTGGTGACTACGGGCGAAGGTGGCGGGTGGATGTAGGTGCTTCTAGCCCTAGTTCGGCAGTCCCAGTGCGATAGACGCGCAAGTGACCGACAGAGTCTATGCATGAGATTAAGGTGTGATCGCAAAAGGTAGAGAGATTAGGATACTTTCATTCTGCATTCTGGAGTTTGACACTCATGATGACCGACCGCTAACGGAAGTCCCTCGTCCCGCTCTGCTATGGGTGTCGTTTCTCGGGCCCTGGCAGCAGCCGTAGTGGCTAGTAGTCTTAGGCAAATAGCTTTGCCGGCAAAGACGAGGAAGACCTGAGTGCCTATTTCTGGCTTATTGGCCGTCGTTAGCCAGACATAGCCAAACCCCAAGTGATGCAGAACCGGAGGCTCGAACTCGCGAACTTTTCAATTAGAGTCTAACGCTCTAACCATTGAGCCGCGAGCTCGTTGTCTTGCCGGTTTTGGTAGGGAGATATTGACACTCTTTGCTGAATGTCCACCGACCGCTCTGCCTTTGCCTTGGGCCTCATTTCTCCGGCCGTGACAGCAGCCGTAGCGGCTAGTAGTCTAGACAAATAGTATTACCGGCAAAGACAATGGAGACTGGAACGGCCATTTTTGGCTTATTAGTTGTCGCTTCAGGTGGTGCACTACCTCCGGTTGGGCATGACTGGCTGACGATGGGTAAAAAGCCAGAAATGGCCATTCCAGTCTCCTTTGTCTTTGCCAGCAATACTATCTGCCAAGGACTTTGGAGTTTGTCTACTGTTCTGACAGGTTTCATGTAACGGACACATAATTACCTAAGTAGACAGATCTTCGAAATGAACAAGACAGAGAGAGATGGAGAGCGGTATATCGGGACTGGAGGTGGTGAACACTACTCACCATTTGCCACCGAGCTCCAGACAAAGAGGTGTGAGATTCTTGGCAGCTGCCTGCATTATAAGGCGACCCACAGTTTGACCGCCAGTAAAGAAAATGAAGTCGAAACGAACCGTGTCCAGGAGCTTTTGAGTTTCCTCCGGTCCGCCATTATATACGTGGCAGACAGTCTACCAGAATAAAAATGCATCTATTAGGAGAGGGGTTTTGGCAGATTTCAATAACTCACTTGAGCCAATTTTGACAAAATCGGCGGCTCCGACGGAATTCGGCGGCCCATGTCAGCAAGAGAAGGCATCAGTACACAGCCAAGGCCTTAGCTAACTGAGCTAGTCAAGGGTTCCAATCCCATCGAGGCCACCGAATTTGTCACAACTGCGTCAATTGAAATGCAGTTGGAACATCTTGTTCAGGAAATAGACTTCGATTTATTCAGATAATAAAGATTAATGATTAAAGACACATTACTTACGCAGTGCTTTTTACACAGCATGCAATCGCGTGACTGCAATGCTATTTACATTTCAAAATGACACCTAATAAACACGGTGACAACAAATTTAGCGACAACAAGTGTTTTAAGATAGCAAAAGATATTGTTTTGGGGGTAAAATGCTAAGTAAGAAGCAAGTGTAAGATGGGATTTTTCATAATAAAAATGTGTGAATTCATAAAGACATCCGCAATTTTTTTTAAAAGTCGTTTTTAGCGAGTTTAGTTTTGTGGTAGGCAACAGAAAAGACGAGCGGAACGCCCATATACGGATAACGTCTTTAAACAACCGAACATTACTACCAACGGTAAGCTCCGTGTAGAACCAACATGGTGAGCATTAGTCCATTGGACGGTGTGATAAGTATTCAACGTAAACAATCGCCTGACTAGAGGCTTTTGAGTACGAATGAACAGATCTTCGCGTCGCTGATACAAGAAGACAGGACACAGGTTTTTCAATATTCGCCAGAAAATTGGGCACAAGCTTTGTGAGTCATGATTTGGACGGCCAAATCAGATAAATATCGCAAGCGACCGTTATCTAGCTGCGGATTGAAGGATATGGGATTTTGAACGGGTTCAAGGGTAAAAGGTGCTGTCAATCATTGCCACCTTATCGCACAACTGAGTCGAGGGAATAGGGGGGAAAGAGTCGATAAGAGAAGGTTTGTTACGCAGCGAAGAGGGTTAATGAGCACAGTCCAGGGGAAGAGAGAGAGAGCGCGCTGAAGAGTGCATACACTTAAGCGAACGTTGGCCATGTCAGGCACGGAACTTGTAGGTCTTTTTGCGCACACAAGACCGGATTTTCGAATCTCATAGCGGTCACTTCTGCTGTATCTAGCAGCCCCTGGCTCGTAGATTTGGAATAGCTTTAAAGGTCCCTATAAATCACCCGGAAAGTTTCGTTGGGGTTCAGAGGATGTTCGGAAGCCACAATGTGCGCGATAATAGCGCTGTTTATGCCCCTGACTTTCTCATTTTCTAAATCTTGCCGGGGAGTGATCCTTTATCCTTTCGGATAGGCGCAAAATCAAGACCAATTAAACCTGCTTCTGTGAACTGTGTCCCAATATGTATTTACGTACGGTAATGGTAGCAGGCCAACTGTGGACAAACAAAACAACACAACAACCAGCCCTGCAACTTCCGGCCTCCTGGCCGACCGAAGAGCAAACCAAGGTTTCACATCAATCTAAAAAGATCACTTATTAAATGGCACATCCAGGAGATAACAACTTCGCCACAGCCAATGGCAGGGCTGCGGACAGAAAGCGCGGGTGGCCTACCTCGTCCAGGTACTTGGGCAACAGCAGAGTCAGCAGTCTTTCCGTTGCAGGAGCAAGCTCCGAGGGCTTGCAGACTACCACGTTGCCGGCGGCTATGGCACCAGCCAGAGGGATCAGCAGCAGGAAGAGGGGATAATTCCAGGGGCCCAAAATGAGCACCTTGCCGTAGGGCTGCGGCTGGACTCTGCAAGTGTCCAGCAGGCTCAAAAAGATGCGTGGCAGCTAAAAGAACGGGGTAAAGAAATCATTTGAAAGCTAAGGAGACCACAAGCAGGACATCTTTGGCTGACTGACATTATCACTCAAGGCCCAAGGGAGACTGGAATGGCCGTTTCTTGCCTATTAGCCGTCATCAGTCAGCACCCGAGAGTGAGCCCCGTGGTATAAAGCGACGAGTGAGTCTCGTAACGAACCACTGAGCACTAACTTATACTTTTAATATTACCGATCGAAGCCAACTAGGCGAGCCCGTGGTGCAGTGGAAGAAGAAGAAGAAGAAGAAGAAGAAGAAGAAGAAGAAGAAGAA